TCACACGACTAATCGTATACACATATTGTAGTAACTTGTTGCTAGCCCCCTTGCCGATTTGACCTTTTTTTTTTTTTTTTTTTTTTTTTTTTTCCGAGATAAGGTTTCTTTGGAGCCTGTCCTGGAACTAGCTCTTGTAGACCAGGCTGGCCTCGAACTCCCAGAGATCTGCCTGCCTCTGCCTCCCAAGTGCTGGGGATTAAAGGCATGCGCCACCACTGCCCGGCCATTACTATCATTCTTATCAGTGTAGCATAGCTTTGGTTTAATAAGTAATGTTAACACTGAAATTTAGCTTTGCTCAGACTGGCTTTGAACTTGCTGTGTAGGTCAGAATGCGCTTGAACTTCTGGTCGTCTTCCTAAATGCTAGTAGTACAGGTATGTGCCTCTACCCCAGAATTGTGTGCTGTGTGGAGAGCACTGTAATAGTGAACCACTTCTTTACCAACTGGTTGTCTTGTATCGTCTGAACTATGTAACTGACAGTCATCTTGAATAATGGTCCCGTTGCATCATGGCTGGTTTATACTGCCTTTTGGGGATACATTTATTGTTATTTTATGTAGATGGGTTTGGTATATGTCTATGAAACATGTGCATGCAATGTCTGAGGAGGCCAAAAGAGGGCATCAGATTCTCTGGATGTGGAGAGAATTTTGTTAGCTGCCATATGGGTGCTGGGTCTTTTGCGAGGGGTTTAACAACTGAACTCTCTCCAGCCCCTTCCTTACATTGCTTTTAAATAATAACATTTTATTTCTTCTTAAAAGTTGTTTTAGATTTATTTGTGCATATTAGTGTTTCCCTGTATGAATGTTTATGTGCCACATTTGTGCTTGGTGCCAGAGGAAGTCAGAAGAAGCCTGGTGAATTGGGGTGACTGACAGCTCTGAAGCACCATATGGTGCCGGGACTAAACCAGGGTCCTCCGCATGAGCAACATGTGCTCTTCACTGCCGAGCCATTTCTACACCCCCATGACATTTTCTTTTTAATACAGTTTTTCATGGCTACTATATCTTCTAAATTTTGTAGAAAAACTATAAGCTTCTTAAAAAATTTTTTTTCTCAAGTGGTCTGATAGGAAGAGTGGTAGACAGTACACAATAGCATGATATCCAAATGTTTTGTAATGTAGTGTGCCACCAATAACTTTCCATTGATCTGAGTAGAGCTGGGCATGGGGGTTCATGTTTGTAATCCCAGCACTTGGGCGACTGAGGCAGGGAGACTAAAATTCAAGAACAGCCTTGTCTACAAAAGTAGTAGAACTTAAAACAAAAAGCTGATAAAACTTAAAAATTTGGCAGTATTAGTTCTAATTCAGAGGTTCATAGATCCTCCAAAGCTTAATTTATAAAAGCAGTTATTTTTGTCTATTTTTGTGGATGTGCACGTGCACACATGCGTTCAGACATGTGCATGGATACTCCACAATGCACATGTGGAGATCAGAGCAGAGCTTATAGGAGTAGGTTCTCTCCATCCTCCATATGAGTCCCAGGAATGAACTCAAGCAGTTAAGTTCAGCACGAGCTCTTGTATCAGGAACCATCTCACCTGCTCCTTCAAAATCTATTCTTAGACTCTTTGAACTTGCTCCATGGGATTCATAAACTGCCATCAGAGACCTTTGCGTTCTGAGCCCCATGAGGTTCCAGGTCCACTTTAGAGGGTGACACCTCCATGAGTTTTTCGTATATTTTTGTTAGGAAAAGTTGCCTCTGTAGCATTTATGTTCTATGCTCTATTTGGCACATGAGGATTCTTTGTTTAGCTCTCAAATATCAAAAAGCCAAATAAACATTGGGAATGATAACAATTTCTGTCTGTCTGTAGGGACATTTTTTTTTTTTTTTGTTTTAAGAATAAAAGAGCCTCATCATTTGATAACAGGATTTCTTTTGAATATTTTTCTGAAGAAAATGAAATTCATACTATGTAAATGTAAAGATAATGTGAATTTGCCTTGCAGTGCAATGCGTGTTTTACTCTCAAAATTACCAAGACCATGGATTGTGGATGAGAAGAAAGATGATGGTTACACTGCCTTGCACCTGGCTGCTCTGAATAATCATGTGGAAGTGGCTGAACTGTTGGTGCATCAGGTAGGAGAGGCAGCTATGTTTTAACAGATGTAGAGCATTCTAATTCTTTCGTTCATTTTACCAAGTGGACTTTAATAGGTTGCAATAAAACCCACATGATGAGGAAAACCGAAGCAATGTATTCTCTGCCTTTTAACGTTGATTATTTTTGTTTGTTTGCATATAACAGTCTTGCTGTGTAGCCCTGGCTTAGCTAAAACTCAGTATCCTGCCTCAGCCTCTGAGTGCTGAAATTGCAGGTATGCCTCTCTGCCTAACACTGGCTCTCTACCCCCAACCCTTTGCGGTGTAGCGCAAGTGTAGAGGTCAAAAGAAAGTCCTCAGGAAATGATTCCGGCCTTCCATTATGGAGGTCTTGGAGATCTAGCTCAGGACTACAGACTTGGCTGCATCTCGCCAGCCTCTCTCCAACACTGGCTTATACTCTCCCCAGTTTTCACATTTAAATAGGCATAAACAGGATGAGCTAACAGTGATACCTCACGACCAGTCAGACACAAATACATGTAATAAAAACAAACCAGAAATGTGTGTCTTCCAGAATATGGCATAACATACTAGAGTTTCAGAGTTGTGATTAGACTGGTTTTAAGACCTAACAGTTTAGGGGGCTGCAGATGGCTTCACACTTAGAGCACTGGCTTCTTTTCTAGAGGACCTGAGTTCATTTCCAGCACTCACATGGCAGCTCACAACTGGAGTCTGTGACTCCAGTTTCAGGGACTCTTGACACCTTCACACAGAAAACAAACAAATTATTGGAAACCTAGTAGTTCAGGTATATCTTTTGAAGCTTTGATTCTGTTCTTAATTTTGATTTGTTGTGCCAGGCATTATGCTAAGCAAATTTTTGTGCTGTATTTCTTAATCTTAACATAAGCCCTGTGACATAGGTTATACTTTCACACCATCAAGGAACCGAAGAAAAGGGCTAAAGGGTGAAATGCTTACAGAAGTGGTTTAAAAGTGGCAGAGGTTAAGCCAAAAGTGCCTTGGATTCAAAATCAGTTAATTTGTCCTTAGGCCCTTTCCCTTGTGTGGGTATTGGTGGCTTTCAGAGCCAGCTGGCTGGTGGGCTCTTCTGAGCCTGGAGGACTTCCTGCTTTCCCTTTGCACCTTCTCACTGAATGAGAAAGTGAACTGATCAGTCACTAAAATAACTCTGAATTCTATATGGAGACACCATTGCTTTTCAGAGGTATTTACAGTTTGTAGGAATTGCTCTCTCCGTGGATATTGAAAGAGAATCGTGCTCAGCACCACAGTGTGCTTTGTCTGTGAGCTGGCTTGAGTAGTTACTGTAAAGGAAATCCTTATTTTACCCCAGCTGTTCCACTTGTAGTTTGCTGTCTGTCTGTTCTCAGTGTCCATGTGAAAAGAGTCTGAGGAAACAGTAGTCAGCAGTGCTCTGTCCCTTGGGAGTAGCTAACAGTTTTCTTGTTCTTTAATGTTGCCCAGCAGTAACCATTTTAAATGTGTTCATTGTTAGGGAAATGCAAACCTGGATATCCAGAATGTGAACCAGCAAACAGCCCTACACCTTGCTGTTGAACGGCAGCACACCCAGATTGTTAGGGTAAAGTATTTTTTCTTGTTAACCAAACTCATGGTGAGAGCCTTGTGAAAACTGAAATGATACAGTGTTCCACTTCTTAAAGTGACATATTCAAGAACTTAAGACTTTAGGGTAAGGGATTAGTATCTAGTTCAGAGTCTTCATCATATTGTTCTTAGACTTCTGAATTCTCATAACGTTAGTGAGAAAAATTTAAAGTAACAATTTGAATAATTGACATCCCTCTTAATGTGTGTAGTTAACAGTAAAATTAAAAGCTTTGTCTGGGAACTTGCTGCTGCAAATGGGAAATTGAGCTATATATTTTTAGTTTACTAATCTGGTAATTTCAAACAAAATACCCGAAAAAAGTATTTGTTTACATGGTTTTATAGAGCAGTGACTCTTAAAAGTTTGGAGACTGAAGCAGCTACCACAGTGTCTCCTGGAAATGTGCAAGAAAGTTTATTCTTGTACTCTGCCCCAGGCCAGCAGAACTGGACCCTGGGAGGGTCCTTTATTACTTGCTTTTCTCTTTGCTTTGACAAAATAGGGGCAAAAGCAACTTAAGGAAGGGTTTCTTTTGGCTCACAGTCTGAAATGGTGCAGGCTGTCATGGCAGGAATAGGAATGAGGCAGCAGCTGGTCACAGTGTGTCCCCAGTCAGCAAGAAGAGTTGAATGCTGGTGCTCAGTTCAGTGTCTGCCTCCCTCTCCCCTTTCTATTTAGTGTGGAACTCCAGACCTTTGCAAGGTATCACCCACATTCATTGTGGGTCTGTTCTTCTCAGTTAAATCTCTCTAGAAACTTTCTTGGGTATGCTCCTGGGTGATTCCAAATTCAGTCCAGTTGACAGAAAACTAACCAACAATGGTGGGTAAATTCCTGGTTATGCAAGCCTTCCAGGTTATCCTGATACTTACCAAGTTTGAAAAATATGTTCTAGAATGATATTTTACATAACTTTTTAGAACAAAAAAAGAGACAAAGTATGATTTGCCAAGACAAGACTATAGAGTAAGGTTAGTTTCTGTGGATGCTATTGTTTAGAGCTCTTTGATGGTATTTGTAGAAAGGATTAGGAAGATTGTCGAAACACCATAAGGAAAGTCTAAAGTGAGCTTACAGGTTGCTGCACAAGTCACATAATGAGATAGGCAGTAACTCATTTTGCTAAGTGGTTGGATTTTAGCAAACAATGTTTACATTAATTGTTTCTTGAAATTTCGAGCTGTTACTGTAGATTTACTATAGTTTCTTATAGGTGTAGACACTACCCAAATGAGGCATCTTTCCCTCTCTCAGCTTTTGGTCCGTGCAGGTGCTAAGCTAGACATTCAGGATAAGGATGGAGATACCCCTTTGCATGAGGCTTTAAGGCATCATACTTTGTCTCAGCTACGCCAGCTACAAGACATGCAAGATGTGGGGAAAGTAGATGCTGCCTGGGAGCCATCAAAAAACACAGTGAGTAAAGATAATGTTCCCTCACTACCGTTGAAAGCATTTAATCCTTATCTGATCTGCGTTGGATAAAACATTTTATCAGAGTTGTACTTGGGGTTACAAAACTTCACTACTGATCACTACGAAGTGCCTTTGTTCTACATCTTATCAAAAGTTTGGTTCTTTCTAACTTCAGCTTTACAGATAGGGTAGAGTGGGTGTTTGTTATGGTTTGAATTTGAAGTCCCTTAATGCTTGTTCATTTTGACCAGCATTTCATTTGATCAATACCACATGTATTTGAAGAGCTATATGCTCAAATCTTTCTCATTATAATTTTTGAATTCTTTCTTTTCTTTTGGTTTTTATTTTTTGAGGTGTTAGGATTGATCCCAAGGCCTCATGCATGCTAGGGAAGCCCTCTCCCACTTCCCATGTCTTTTGTTTTCTTCTAATTATTCCAAGAATTATTTCTATAATATGAAAAGGAGATATCAGTATGTGATACGTACATATTTTCTTCTGATCTATGATTTGTGTTGCCACTGCCCCTACTGCTGCCTCCTCTTTGTCTTTGGGTGTGGTGGTGACAGTGGAAGATAATAATTGTAATACAATGCTTTGGTATAGCAATGAACATAATTTAGTATTCATTGTTTTTGTATAGAAATGATAGCATAGTCAAGAACTAGACCATGATTGTAATCCCCCACTTAGGAGGCTAAGGCAGGATTTGTGACCAGCATATACTATATAGTGAGTTCCCTGTCAGTCTAGGCTTGAGTGAGACCTTAGCTCAAACAAAAGTTTCCCTATATAATTACATACCGTATGTTTCTAGGCACTGGAGAAACACTATATCCTCTAAGTACAGAGGAAGTCTTTAAGTGCAGATACAGCAGTTCTGTGTATAATGCCTGGTATGTCTGCACCCTTGGTCTTCCTCAGTTAAGGAGGTCCAGACTGGATATTTGATCCTTTTTATGTTCTCCAAAAACTGTTTTTCATTCTTAGAAAGTTGTAAGAGATGGGGCTCCATTTGATCTAGTGTTTCCCCAAGATGCTTCTCTAAATCTAGATGGGCTTGGAAGTCTAATGTCTGATGATGTCATCCTTGTCAGCAGAGCCAAGGATGTCAAGAAAGGAGTTGTGCTCACACGCATGTTTCTGTCCTTCTTTTGGCAGTGGTGTTTTGTGATGAGGTGTCACTGTCTTGCCCAGTTGTCCTCAAACTCTTGATCCTCCTGCCTGACTTTTGAGTGGCTGGGATTATGTATATGAGCACCATGACTGATTTTTTGACAGTGTTCTTAAAGAATGGAATGTCCTTTTTAATGACTTATTTATTTTTGTTTTAAGTGCATTGGGATGAGTTGCTTGCCTGTATGTCTGTATGGAGAGTATCAGAAGCTCTAGAACTAGAGTTACAGACAACATGTGTGAGCTGCCATGTGAGTGCTGGGAACTGAACCAAGTCCTCTGAAAGAGCAGCCAGTGCTCTTAACCACTGAACCATCTCTTTAGCCCAGAGCAGAATGTCTTTCTTAAATATTATTATGTATGGTTTATGTATCCTAAGAAAATTTTGGCCAAATGAAGGTTACTTACTTTTTTTGTTGTTTTATGTTATATAGAAGCTTCTAAGTTTGAGCTCTTCCTTTAAGTTCACTGTTCAAGTGGACCTTTATTTAGAGTATGGCATAGATCAGAGTTCATTTGTCACTCACTGATTGATGTCCAGCTGTCCCTGCGCCATTTGTTGAGTAGTGTCTTTTTCTAATTGAATGTCTGCTGCCTTTATCCAAGATCAGCTAGCTATCTGTGGACGCCTCCTTTTGCATACACCATCTTGTTCTTTTGGTCCATGTTTTTAGCCTTGGGATGCCTGCTCAAATGTCTTGTAGCTTTGGGATTCAGCGTTTGCTCGTGCTGAAATTAGTTAATGGATGTCCTCAAATTTTTTTTTATTGTTTGGTTATTTTAAGCCTTTATACTTCCAAATGAATTTTATTACCATATTGAAAAGTATAAATGAATCTGAGGGCAAAATGTTTGTGAATTTTTGTCTTGCATGGCTTGGGTGTATATTACTAACTCCTTTGTGCCTTCTTTCTTGATCATCATTTAAGATGGAGAAGAGCTTTCTTTCCATAGACTGTTGTAGAAGATCATAAAAGTACTTCAAACAGTGCATGGCTCATTATGGATGCTTAGTGGATCTTGATAGTGATTTTAACAATTTCAGATAACACAATCAGATGCTGATTCATCTCATTAAGTTTTGCCTTGATCCAGAAACATTGAGAGTTAGTTGGTAGCAGCTCCAGAGTAACACTAAATAGGAACAAAAGTAGTTTCTTCTCAGCCAGAACCTGTACTTGAGTTTCTCAGCCATAATCGACCTAACTTTGGGTCTGTGTCTGTCTCTGAATCAGTCATGTAGGAGGCAGGTATCCAACTGGGTTTAACCACTTTGGGTCCACTTGTACACTGCAGAGCCAGTTCTCAAATGTGGAAAATCAAGGAACATGGCGGGTGGGGAGAGATGAGTCCATGTTAGGACTGAAACACACACATATTGTTAGTGATAATTGATGGCAGATTTCCTTAAGGGAAAGTCATGACTCTTTATTTGATTTCAGTTAATAATGGGACTTGGTACCCAGGGGGCAGAAAAGAAGAGTGCAGCATCTATTGCCTGTTTCTTGGCAGCCAATGGTGCCGACCTCAGCATTCGAAATAAGAAGGGTCAATCACCACTGGATCTCTGTCCTGACCCAAGTCTCTGCAAAGCGCTGGCAAAATGTCATAAGGAAAAAGTCAGGTTTGTAGTCTTTCTCATCATGTTACCGAATATTCTATTCATAAGGTGCCGTGTAACTCATAAGGGAGGTCCTGGGACTTGCAGGTGTCCAGATCTCTGCAGTTCTTAGGTCTTTGGGCTGCACTTGAAAGCATTTCCTCTGACCTATGTCTCATTCCATGTTGCGTTCCCCACGTTATGTATATCACTTTATACATGATAAACTTAAAAATCTTTTCTAAACTAGCTTAATCTCCTAGGAATCCTGTGTGCTCTGGGAATTTATAAGGAAAAACCTTACTAGGAAAAGCCTCACCAAATGCTGTGATTGTTACAGTATTTTTCTATGATAATACTCTAGACATTTTACCACAGGGCAGTTTACTCTCATTGAAAGTTCGTAATATTTCTAGCACTTTGCAACAAGAGCTTGGAAACAGTTATCAGCAATGAAGGGTTAAAAGAATGTACAAGTGAGCCAGCCAGCCTGTGGGTTGTGGCATTTCCTGAAGATGATCCTTTCACATACTCCTGTTTTCCTGACAGTCAAGTATGTCAGTTGTTTTAATGAAAATGTCTGGTGTAAATATTTTCTTTACCGAGATAGTCATGCAAAAATTATGCATCTCTGTTTTTGTTTGTTTATTTTTGTTGTTTGTTTGTTTGTTTCTTTTTCGAGACAAGGTTTTTTCTGTGTAACAGTCCTGGCTGACCTGGAACTCACACAGATCTGCCTATCTCTGCCTTCCACGTGCTGGGATTAAAGATGTGCGCCACCACCACCCAGCCACATCTGTTTTTTAATACAAACAATCCTATGAAAATATTCTTGACCTTTATACTTCTTATTACTGGCTATATTGGTAGCTCTCTCTCTTCTTTGGTGTTTTCTCGCCAAGTAGTGGTTGGCGAGGTGTTGGTGTCACACTACCTGGCTGTTACATATACATAGAGAGAGAGGATATTGAAGAATATATTTTAAAGATTCCTTTCAATTATGTCTCTGTCTATGGAGGCAGGAGGTTTCAGATCCGCCTGCAGATGGAGTTGTGGGAGATTATAAACCATCCAATGTGGATGCTGGAAACTGAACTTGGGTTCTCTGAGAGAATGTTATATTTTCTTAATTACTGGGGCATCTTTCCAGCTTTTTTTTTTTAATATAAATGATTGAACTGAGAGCCCATGCTAACTATTGAGCCCAATAAATATACTTTAATATATATATTAAATTTATATACTTATAAATATATTTATATGTTAAATTTAATATGTTTATATATACTAAATTTATTATATTTATATATATATTTAAAATATATACTTTAAAGTATATTCTTAAGGAACTTAAAATTTTATTACCAGAGTATAAATGCATTTAGAAATAGGCACTTTAATTACCGCAGTCATGATTTTGAACAGTGGAACCTTTATGTGCATTCCTAAGTTCTTGGAACCCGTGTTTACTTTCCATAGCTGTATTAGTTATGCATACATGCATTTTCCTGCCTGTTTCTGCATATTTATGCTATGTAGTCTACCTTTCTGTAGTGTAATTTTATCCTTCTGAACGACACACTCAGTGGACTGTCAGGACAGCAGCCGGAGTGTCTCACTGTCTGTTTTCCTTTGTGAACTCTGGTGGTGCTGTCCTAGTTGATACCACAATATGATGCTAATCGAGGCTTCTGTTTTATTCCTGGGGTAGAAAATGTTCTAAATTAAATTTTACTTATATTAGCTTTTTGCTTTGTTTATTTTGAGACAGAAGCTTAGTCTGTTCCTCTGACTGTCTGACTAAACCCACCATGTAGACCATGTAGACCAGCCTGGCCTAGAATTTAGAGATCTGCCGGCCTCTGCCTCCTGAGTGCTGGGATTCAAGGCCCGAGCCACTACGCCTGGCTCATTAAATTAGTGTTTGCTGGTGTTTTTAGCTGTTTACTAGAAGTTCAACCTTGTTCCTTGAGTCTTCATTTAATTTGAAGATTGACTGGAACTAGAAGAATGTGTGAAGGTGCAGAGAGGTTTATAAGTTTAAGAAAGCTCAAGCATTTAGTACCTTTTTGATCTATTATTTTGAGCAGTAGAGATGTGAAAATGAGCAAATATGAATAGAAAAGGAAATAGAAGAAAGGTTTTATATAATGCTGTTGACATTTGATATTTAATATAATCTGTTTTTTATGTGTACAATGACACTTAGGTTGTTAAAAAATAAACTTTTTAGAGTATTTGGATGGGCTTGATTTGACATACTTTGTTTTATTAGTGGCCAAGTGGGTTCTCGGAGTCCTTCTATGATTAGCAATGATTCTGAAACCTTGGAGGAATGTATGGTGTGCTCAGACATGAAGAGAGATACTCTTTTTGGTCCCTGTGGACACATTGCGACTTGTTCTTTGTGTTCCCCACGTGTCAAGAAATGCCTCATCTGTAAAGAGCAGGTTCAGTCCAGGACAAAGGTAACGAGTCTGATGTGTTGCTCTACCTGCTGTTGACTTCTGTGATTACCATACACATATTAGACTATGTGGTAGTTATTTCACTTTGTTCTTACAAATGAGTTAAATACCGTAATATGTGATTTATACATTTAAAGTGACCAGTTCAGATTTTCCGAGTTGATTTCTAGTTTAACCTTACTGGTAATAGTTTGCCATGGTCATTATTATCACAAAACCATCCATGGATTTTAACTCTAAATTTTTTTTTTTAGCTTATATTTCCTTCTTTACATCTAAAGTATAGTACTTAAAAAATAGTTACTATTTTTCTTTCAAAGCCCTCTAAAACTTAGATACATTGAGTTCTGTTTTGTATTTTATATTATGTAGTTTTCAAATTTGTAGAAAATTTAACAAAATGAGACGTCTAACGAACTCAGTACATTTCCTGGGTTATTAGCAGAGCCTTTGACCATAGGAAAATAGTGACCCCAACTGGTTAAAGAGGAATCAACAGGTTCATTGAAGAAAAATTCTAAAACCAGTATTTAGAGGAAAGGATATTTTTAGACTAATTATTTGGATTGTTTAGTAATTTGGGAAATATAAATACATTTCAAATTAGTACAAACTTTTTGTTGAATTAGGAAATAAAAGTTTTTATTTTAAGTGCTAATAATCAATGTTGAAAGTGTGACTTTGTTAATCCTACTAGAGGCTTGGAGGCCGTCCTCTGCTCAGAGCAAAATGCTTTATTCAGTTGTTCCATTCATGAGAGTAGAACCTGAGGAAGTAAGCATAAGGGAAATTTTGAGTTTAGACTTGTCTTTCAAGTAGGAGATTGTTAGATAATTTGCTCTAATATTTTAAACTTGTACAAATATTAAGTAAGTTATTAGTATTGGAGGTAGCTTTTGAGTTCAAGAATGTCAGAGACCAACCAGATTTTACTGCACTAGACTAGTGCCAAGTATACACACTCCATGTACATCCCTGAGGCTTGGGCTGGAGAGTAAACCTTTATTAAAGCAAGGAAGAAGACAGTGGTTAGTGATGGGTGAGAAGTGGCCATTTCTGGACAATAATACTAAATAAAAGAAAGCTATATATAGCTATGCTGGAAAACAGATGGGAAACTAAGGGCAGTGGTGTGAGCTGCAGGGGAAGGGGAGTCAGTCACGGTTGTTGCAGTACATGACAAAATGTATTTTGTAGATGAGGTCAAATGGAAATTATGAGTAGGTTGTGGAAGACTTTAGGACAAGGGTGAGGAATAACCTAAAAGCTTTGGGCTTCAAGCAGCATGGGAATTGACCAGGTCCCAAAAGGGGGTCTTTTATGGAGAATTCCCTAGATTGAGGTAACATAGGCACCCCTCTTGCACTTTTAGCAATTTACTACTCTGGTAAGGTTTTGTTGTTATTAGTCTTCTCATAACCATTTGTTTTAATACTTGTTTATTAAGATTTCCTTAAAGTTTTTGGAACAAAAAAAGGAAAATTAACATTTAGCTCATTCATTATCCCTGGCCTCAGATTATATGTGTTAGGAGGGAGGGAGCAGCAGAAAGAGTGCATGTTAAGCTAGGGCACCTAAGGATGTGAGAATGAGCAGCCAGGAGGGCAGAGCACATTGGGGTACACTGAGTACACCCCAGAGTACACTGGGGTGGTCAGCTGCTAGGCGGACATGCTTTCTCTGCAGTGTTCACTCTGCTGGTTTTGTTTTCTTTTGCTGTAGATTGAAGAATGTGTGGTGTGCTCTGACAAGAAAGCAGCTGTTCTCTTTCAACCTTGTGGACACATGTGTGCTTGTGAGAGTAAGTAGTAGCTTATTGGGAACCTCCCCAGTGTCATAAAAATAAGAACGAAGTGAAAAATTACGTCTTTGATTGTGTGTGCGCGCATGTGCGTGCTTGTTTGTTTATTGGGTAACCCCTACAGAAAATCTGGACAAGGATTTAGTACCATTTTGGTCTATACTTTAGAGTAATAGAGTATACTGAGTAATTTGAATACTGAAATTCTGTGTTCTGTCAGGCTGAATTTTTTTTAATTTCAGTTATATTACCACAAAAGGATCTCTCTTTCACACACAGTGGAAACCTATTTATAAACCTCCTAGAACATCTAGTCCATCATTTTTTTGCATATAACTTTGGCGCATCTTCATTTGTCTTCATCTTAACATTACCTATCCTGTGTGCCTGCCGGACTCCTCAGGCTCTTACAGCTTCTGTTGTTGGGGGCTATAATTTTGTTCTGTGAACTGTTATGTCAGGAGAAGTTTAAGAAGTCTGTTCTTTGGACAGACATCTTTGAAGCTTGTCTAATGCTTTAGAGCAGTGGCTCTCAACCTTATGCTGAGACCCTTTAACACAGTTCCTTATGTTGTGGTGACCCCAACCACTAAATTTCATTGTTACTTATAACTGTAATTTTGCTACTGTTACTAGTTGCAATGGAAGTATTTGATATGCAACCACTGTGAAATGGTTATTTGGGCCCCAAAGGAGTCTTGAACCACAGGTTGAGAAACACTGCTTTTAAGTCTCTTGGGCCCATTGTTTTGAAGGCCTTGGCTTTTTATATTCTTCTTGAATCTTACAGGATTTGAAATTCTCTTTCCTTTGCTTTTTTTTATGGGGGGGATCTATTTACTTATTAGTGAAAAATCTCAAGTTTAATACCTTGTTTAAATACCTACTTTATATTATAAAATAGGTTAGTTAACAAATATTTGGTTTTATTTTGCTTACTAGAATATCATGCAGATTATATGGTAATCTCATTGGTTTAGATGCCTATCTTAGGATTTTTATTGTTGTGAAAAGACACTGTTACCACAGCTTTTATAAGGGAAAACATTTAATGGGGTGGCTTACAGTTTCAGAGGTTCAGTCCATTATCATCATAGTGGGACATGGTAGGCCCTGGAGCTGAGAGCCCTACATCTTGATCAGCAGGCAACAGGAAGTACACTGGGACATGGACATGGCTTGACCATGTATGAGACTACAAAGCCCACTTTCACAGTGACACACTTCCTCTAACAAGTCCACACCTACTCCAACAAAGTCACACCTCCTTAACTTAGTGCCATTCCCTGTGCCTCCCTTTTTTAAATGTTGGGTTAAATTACATTTTATATTTATTTATTTATTTGTGTATATGTCTATAAGTTGTGTGTGTATGTATGTGTATGTGTGTGTGTGTGTGTGTCCAACATGGTGCATGTGTGGAAGTCAGAGGACTCTTGAGAGAGGAGGTTCTCTCCTTTCACCCTGTGGGTTTTGGAGCTCAAACTCAGATGGTCAAGCTTGACCTACAGGTAATGTTATCCCTTTGCCATCTTATAGGACCCTTGAATACTGATGTTTTTGTTTTAATTTTTGTTTCATTCTGATAGGCAACTAGACAACTAAATAAAGGGTCATGGGTTTGTTCAATTAGCAGTCTACCTCAAATAAATGTTTCTATTTACCAAGGCCTGGTGTAAGGGCTATCATCACCTGTCAGAAGAACACAGAAAGACAGTCTCTTGGTCTTGAGTAGACTTTTGTAGACCAGAGGTTGACAAACTTTTTTTGTTTTTGGCTTTATAGACCACATGGCTTCTGTAGTAACCACTCATTTTCCAACTGCCCAATGTTGTTATCATAGTCCAGAAACAACCACTGAACTAGGATCCAATAAAAACTCATTTAAAAGCTGGGCAGTGGTGGTGCACACCTTTAATCCCAGCATTTGGGAGGCAGGGATAGGCAGGTCTCTTAAGTTGGAGACCAATCTGATCTACAGAGTGAGTTCCAGGACAGCCAGTTCTGTCTACATAGAGAAACCCTGTCTCAAAAAAACCAACAAAAACAAATCAAAAGCTCATTTAAAAGAACAGACTTTTGGGCATTGATTTGTTGATCTTAACCTACTGTAGTCCAGATTACTGACTGTGTGAGCCTTGGCAGATAATTATAGCCATTAGCATTGATTACACAGTTTTTTGAGCCTTTATATTTTATTTCCCCCGAAGGATTTCCAAAAACATTAACATTTTTGCTTTATAATGTACTAGTTTTTATTGAACTTTTAACTCTGTACTAGACATTTTAATCTCTTCTTAAATTCACCATGACTTAACTTTCAGCACAATCATAGTTTATATGAGTTTTCTATGGTTTTTTTTTGTTTGTTTTTTATGGTTCTAAGGATCAGACCTATGGCCTCTTGGCTCTTTAGCAAGCTCTCTGCCTCAATGACATCCCTGGCCCTAAACTTATTTTTTGGAGACAGTATCTTGTTTAGAGACAGTTATTACTTGTAGCCCAGGCTAACCTTGAGCTTTTGGTTCTCCTGCTTTTGCCTCCCAAGTACAGGAACTGAGTATGTGCACCACACTGCCCAGCTTCTAACCATGTGCATAGCCTACCTCCTGAAGAGGATGTGGCTAAGGTGAACAGCCCTTTCTTAAAGAGTATGTGCTAGAGTATTAGTGCAGTGCCCACACCTCAGGATGCCAAGGAGAACTCTTGAGGAGCATAAAGTACTTTCACCAGCCAGAGGAAGGTTTATATCCTTTTTGAAGAGGCTGATGATATTTTTGGACAAAAATATTACCAAACAGTTACAGAAAGTTTGTGTAATTGTCATAAGTTATTTGATTAGTATATGATACATTAATCCTTTAAAAAAAAGTCTGCCCCATACTGAAGACAAATCCCAAACTAGATTTATTAGTCCCTGCCTACTGCATGTTGCATTATCAGGAGTGAGACCATTTATGTTCAAGCCTTGTTATCAGGCTTGATAATGATTCCATACCCAGTGTGCTTCCATTAGGAGGATGTACCCAGCCTGTCCATGCCCATGGTTCCATGTTTTGATAAAGTTTAGTTTATCATTGTGCCTAGAGAGTTTCTTCTCTCTCTCCCTCTCCCTATCTCTCTCTTTTTATCCTTCTTTCTTTTTCACTTGCAGAGACTTTTTATATTTTATTTTATTTTTAGTTTTTGAGACAGGATTTCTCTGTGTAACAGCTCTGGCTGTCCTAGAACTACCATATCAAGAACCCAGAACCTCAGTCCAATGGAAAAATAGCAGAGCCTTCCTTAGAGGACTGAGTGCAGTGTTTACAGTGTGTGCAGATAATGTTCACCATAACTGTGTCCCTTCAGATATTTACAGCCTGGATACGGCAGTCATTGTTCTCATTTTAACTGAATGTATTTCTCTCCATTTTCTAAATCTTAAGATATTTTTTGTTTGTTTATTGGTTTTGTTTTGGATTTTTGAAATAGGATTATAGTTGTATACCACCATTCCTGGCTAAACCTTAAGATTTAGAAATATTGCCGGGTGATGCTGGCTCACACCTTTAATCCCAGCACTCTGTGAGTTTGAAGCCAACCTGCTCTACAGGAACTAGTTCCAGGACAAGCCCCAAAACTACAGAGAAACTCTGTCTTGAAAAAACAACAACAAAACAACAACAACAAAAAAAATTGCTTAAAAAAAAAAATCACTATTTGGATATGTTAGAAAATGTTTTTATAATAGGTTCTTTTTTCCAGCAAACATTTTTCAGTCTTAGGTTAATAACATGATAGTGAGGTAGGATTTTTGTTTATAACTTGTTATAGTTAGAATCTTATATAACTGCTTTAGTATTTGCTTTAGTATATGGTTCACAGAGAAATTAGCAGAAAAAGGCAGTGTTATTTCTGTTGTAGCTAAAGAAGCATCTGTGTTACTCATTTCAGACTGTGCCAGCCTGATGAAAAAATGTGTGCAGTGCCGGGCAGTGGTTGAACGAAGGGTGCCTTTCATCATGTGCTGTGGTGGGAAGAGTTCGGAGGACCCCTCTGATGATGTCTGTGAGTGTCTTCTCTTCCATCTTTACACAGAATTATACTGTGTTACTGCCCTGTTAAACAAGAGCTGGATTGACAGAGGAGCAAGTATAGCTTTTTGATGCTTTTGTTTGTTATAAGAATGTAGAATTACATTTTATTTAGTTTATGGTATGCTTATATAGACTTTCAAAAGGTGTGTGTGCATGTGGGAACATGAAAGCCTTCATATGTGTGCGGAAATCAGGATAATTCTATGGAGTTGGTTCTCTCCTTTAACCTTTCCATGGGTGCTAGGGCTCATACTCAAGTTGCTAGGCTTATAGGGCAGCCCAACACCAAACTTTGGAGGCTTTGTAATATGAAGAACATTTATGTTCTTAAAGAATACTTGCTTTCTGTTTTAAAGCTGAAATACAGTGGCTGTGTTTGTGTGCCCATTTTTGGAGTCAGCTTAATTAAGCATATACTCTACCAATTGGGGCACCAAATTCCAAGTTATTTTTTCTTTTCAGTTTACAAATGTATTCATTTGGTTCCTGTACATAGCAGGCTTACAGGATCAATTAAGTAGGATATATTGTATGGAATAGTAAGTAGAAAAGTGAAAGGTAACTTTCCATTTATTCCTTTTATATCATGGTGCTGATAAATTCAAGTCATTGCTCATGCTTAGCAGGCACTCACCTGCTGGACTTTATTCCAAACGCTTCATAATACGACTGTTTAAAGTTTTATTTATTTATTTTTCTTTAGGTCAGTGTTCTTTTGCTATGAAGGGACACCATGACCACGACATTTTTTTTTTCTCACGATAGGATTTTTCTTTGTAGATCTGGCTGTCCTGGAACTCATTCTGTAGACCAGGCTGGCCTCAAGCTCACACAAATCCTCCTTCCTCTGTCTCTCAAATGCTGGGATTAAAGACATGTGCCACCACACCCAGCAACCATTATAACTCTTAAAAGGAAAGCATTTAATTGGGGTTGACTTACAGTTTGAGAGGACAGTTTACTATCATCATGGTGGGGAGCATGGTGGCATGCAGGCAGACATGATACTGGAGAAGTGATTCAGAATTCTATATCCAGATTCACAGGCAGCAGGAAGAGAGAGAGAGAGAGATTGGGATTGGCTTGGGCTTTTGAAACCTCAGAGCCCACCCCCACAGTGACACACTTTCTCCAACAAGGCCACACCTCCTAATCCCTCTCAAGTAGTGCCACTCCCTGATGACCAAGCATTCAAACATAGGCTCCTATGCGGACCTGATTCACTCACAGTCCTTGCAGTTTATGTAAAGGTGATGGAGAATGGTTTCTTTGATTCTTGGTTTGTAAACATGTTTTGTAAACAGATGAATATGAACATTGCTGCACACACCTCTGACCAAAGCTCTTAGCTTTTTCACAAATAGAGAATAAAATTCCCAGGTATAAGTAGTTCCTGAAATGAAAGGCCAAGAATGTACAGAGAAGGGCATGTAAAATCAAAGAAAGACCTTCTGAATGTTATTGTTAACTATAGAATCTTGGCATAAAGAAAGGAGGGTTGGTCAGACTTGGGTGGATCATGCCTGTAATTCCATTACTCAAGTACCTGCGGATTAACATGAATTTGAGATCAGCCTGAGCAGCAGAGTAAGACTGCTTCAAAATAAACAAACAAATAAACAAAAATTAAGCTGGGTGTGTGGTGGCACATGCTTTTTAAAATTATTAGTTTATTTTTATTTACTGAGTCACTCATACATTGCATTTCAGCTGCAGTTTTTCCTCCTTCCACTCCTCCAAAACCCCTCCCCTTTTCTCCCAGATCTCTTCTGTTTCCCTTCAGAAAAGAACAGCTCTCCTTGGGATAACAACTGAGCACGGGCATAGCAAGTTACAGCAAGACTAGGCACACACCCTCATATCAAGGCTGGACAAGATAACCCAGCAGGAGGAAAAGGGTCCCAAGAGCAGGCAAAAGATTCACATCATCCCCACTCCCACTGTTAGTTCAACAAAAATCAAGCTAAACATTCATACCATGTATGCTAAGAACCTAGTTCAGACCCATTCAGGCCCCATGATTCTTGCTTCAGCCTTTGAGCCCTGTTTAATTGATTCTGTGGGTCATGTTCTTGTGGTGTCCTCTGTTGTCTGGATCCTACAGTTCTTCCTTCATCTCTTTGGTGGAGTCCCCTGAGCTCCTCCTCCTAATATTTGGCTGTAGGTCTCTACATGTGCTGTGACCCATGTTTTTAATCCTGGCACCTGGGAGTCAGAGGCAGGCAGATCTCCGAATTTAAAGCCTGTATACTCTATGTTGTAAATTCCAGGCCAGGCCAGAAGTACATAGTAAGACCTTATTCAAATAATCATTGTCATTTTCATCATCATTGTCATCATTATCATCATTATCCAACATGGTGGATGCTGCCTGTTATCTAAACACTTGGGAGGTAGAGGTGGGAGGATTAGGAGCTCATGACCAGCCTTGCCTATATAGTGAGTTCAAGGCTGGTTTGAGCAACCTGTCTAGTGAGCCCTGTCTAGAAAAAAGAGCAAAAGGAAGGAAAGTAGATCCTTTTTAAAAAAAAATCATCTAAGAGATTAGTTAATACTTCAGTAGTAGCTACTTTGGTATGGTTCCAGTGGCCCGTGAGCAGAGAAAAGGAGTGTGCATGTTTGCCAGAGGAATTGAAATGCAGAAATTCTTGTCACTGCAAACCTCTTTCTCCCTACCTCGCATATTTTTTTTTGGACCAGGTCTTGCTATGTAGCCCAGACTGACATGATGGCAGTATTCCTGCCTTGAGTCTCCTGAACGTCGCAGTAGCAATCATGTGCTACTGTCTCAGACTTTCTCTATTTCTTTTTTTTTTTAATTATGTATATGTAGTAAGGGGGCTGCTTGTTTGGTTCCTGGATGCCCAGCTAGATTAGACCTGAAATAATCGCACAGAAACTGTATTATTTAAAACACTGCTTGGCCCCTTAGCCCTAGCTTCTTATTGGCTAACTCGTACATCTTAATTTAACCCATTTCTATTAATATGTGTATTGCCACATGGCAGTGGCTTACTAGCAAAGTTTCAGCATGTCTGATTCTGGCGGCTCCATGGTGGCTCTCTGACTCTGCCTTCCTTTTTGCCAGCATTCAGCTTAGTTTTCCTTGCCTAGCTAAGTTCTGCCCTGCCATAGGTCCAAAGCAGTTTCTTTATTCATTAATGGTAATCACAGTATACAGAGGGGACTCGCACATCATGTATAAGTATGTGTATGTGCAGGTAGGTACCCAAGCACAAAGGCCCAAGACATTGATTTCCTTGGAGTTGGATTTACAGGTAGTTGTGAGTCATCAGATATGGGTGCTGAGAACTAAACTGTAGTTCTCTGCAATGTCATTGTGATATCTTGGCCACTGAGTACTCTCTCTAGCCCCTATTTCTGCTAGGGTTTCTATTGCTGTGAGGAGACACCATGACCATGGCAACTCGTATAAAGGCAAACATTTCACTGTGGAAGCTTGCTTACATTTCAGAGGTTTAGTCCATTGTCTTTATGGTGGGTTATGGCAGCATTCAGGTAGACATGATGCTGGTTACATTCTTGATCAGAAGGCAACAGGGAGTTAACTGAGACACTGGGCAGTTGCTTGAGCATAGGAAACCTCAAAAGCCTGCCCTCACAGTGACCCACTTCCTCCAACAATGCCACATGTCCTAATAGTGCCACTCCCTATGAGATTATGAGGGCCAATTACATTCACACTACCACACCCACCCAAGCCTAATTCCTCTTATGATTATAAATGAGTGTTATCTGAATTTCACTACTGTGTCTTTGTCTCTCCATATGTAATGTTAGCTCCCTCCACCCCTTCTGTTATAGAATTTACAGAGCTCAGGGCCTTGCACATGGTGTGTAAGCATTCTACCACCAGTTGTCTAGCTCCATGGGTTTGAAGGGTTTTGTTCTGTTGGTTTTTTTTTTTTTTTTTGGAGGGGGTTTGTGTGTGTGTGTGTGTATTTGTTTGTTTGTTTTTGTTTTGTTTTATTTTGGTTTTCAAGATAGGGTTTCCCTGTGTAGCCCTGAAACTCACTCTATAGACCAGGCTGTCCTTGTACTCAGAGATCTACCTGCCTCTGCCTCCCAAGTTCTGGGATTAATAAAAACATCACTGCCCAATTCAGTTTTTTTTTTTTTAGTAACTAAAATTATAGAAATATGTCATTATGTCAAACAGTAATAACTAAGAAGGTGTTTCTTAAATTCTAGCAAGTGGGACTATTCCAGTGCTGCAGAAGGACAAAGACAACACCAATGTCAATGCAGATGTACAGAAGCTGCAGCAGCAGTTGCAGGACATCAAGGAGCAGGTAATGATTGCGTCCTGCCACCCAGTGCTTCTTACTATGCCACTTAACACATGTCTACTTGGCTACTGGCCTTTTCTGTAATAGTCATGGTTTGTGATAGTAGGTCACAAAACAATGAGGTTTAGTTAGACATTTTCCAGAACAGGAAACACACACAGGTGCCAATAAACATGCTGGAAAAAAGCCTAAAAATCACACTGAACTAGTTTGTCACGTAGAAGGCAGATACACCAGCAGATTCCTATGCTGCTGCTGGGCAGAGATGCTCCTAACCCCACAGAGGAGAGCACAGTCGTCTAATGAACCTAGCAGATCTGGTGGAAATCAAAGTGTTAAAACCTGGGTAGTGTGATTTTTCTCTGCTGAGAAGAAGCAAAGGGGAAGTTTCTGGAGTCTGTTGCAGGGTTATAGGTTGTGAATTTCTGTGGCTTGTGTACATTTCTATATGTTTATTTCAGTAGAAAATTAAAATGTGTATATGTATGTGTTTATGTAGAAAAACAAGGGAAAAATAAGTGCAAAATTCAGATTGGTGTTCATCATTGAGAGTTGGATAGAGGGAAGAGGGGAGGGTATTGGAAGGGACTTGAGAAGTGAAGAGTAGCATTTCATACATCAAACTGGGTATTGTTACATTGTTATTTCCATTTTATACAATATCAACGAAGTACTCTTATATCCTTGATATTTATCAAAGCAAGAAGATAAGAACAGGTGTATACTAGGTGACACCACAAGTCTTGAGCCAGGTGTAGTGGTACACTCCTGACCCTTAAACTCAGGAGGTCGAGTCGAAGACCAGAGAAACCTTGTCGCACAGACAACACAGCAGAAAGAATAGTAAATCATATCCTTTGCTTTGACACAGCGATTTAATTGCTTCAAAGATTTGAACAGCAGGAGTATGGTCTGAGGTTGGCAATCACACCCCTATTGCCAGCCAATAGCAGTCTTTAATAGCAAGTTTACTTTCTGAATTTACCAGATTTAATCAATAGAGTAATGATTCTCAACCTTCCTTAATGCTGCAACCCTTTTATTACAGTTTCTCATGTTATGTTGACCCCCCCAACCATAAAGTAACTTGGTTGCCAATTCATGACTATAATTTTACTACTGTTATGAATTGTAATGTAAATATCCGTTATGCAGGATAACTAATGTGTAACCCTTGTGAAAAAGTTGTTCCACCCCCAAAGGTGTTTGCAACCACAGGTTGAGAATCACTGCAATAGAGGGTGGCCCATCATCACATGATAGCTAGTTTAAAACGGAATGTGTACATGTCTGAAGAGAGAAAAGCCTTTTCATTGAGCTGTTTTTATAATTGTTATATAGTGACTACGTAAAGATAAATAAGAATTTAGAGGTTTTTTTCCTCTCATTTGTCTTTTTCCCCCTTCCTTTTACATATGTTTGTATAATGTCTGTCCATGTTTGAATGTATGTAGGTACACATATGGCATGTATATATACATTTATATGGAGGGCCCAGGTTGACAAATGTTTTCCCTGATATCTCTGCCTTCCATGTGGAGGCAGGCGCTTTCCTGAATGTGGACCTACCTCACTGGTTTGGCCAGGGTGGCTAGTCAGTGTGCTCCAAGGAGTCCGTGACTCCGCCTCCTGTATGCTGGGATTACATGTGAGCCCATGTCCTTACCTGGATTTGACATGGGTTCTGGGGATCTGAACTCTGATCCTCACTTACCTGGCAAGTGCCTTCCTTACTTGTTGAACCAGCTACTTGGCCCTTGTTTGTCTTTAGTTAGTTAGCATACAGAGTAATGGGTTTCATTATGACATTTATATAAATACATGTTGTCTTTTGTTCTTACTTGTCACACACAGCCTCACTAGTCAACCTTCCTTTTGTTGGGTATCCCCACCACCACTCCCCATTAGGCTAAGCTTTCGTGTTCCATTGTTCATTGCACTCTTACCCCCTGCTTCTGCCTTCATATATATCACTCCCCTCTCATATTTCTTTCTGCTTCCAATAAATATGGATATACATAAGCATTTGTAGAAATTTAAATCTAGATTCTGCATATGAGAAATATGGTGATATTTGGCTTCTGAGGCTGACTTATTTCATGTAACATGATTTCCAGCTCCTTCCATTTTTCTACCAACATCATGATTTCATTCTTCTTTATGACTGAATTCCATTTTGTATATGTACTATGTTTTCTACCTGTTGATGTACATTTAGGCTGGTTCCATTTGTTGTGAATAGTACAGCAATGAGCGTGGGTCTTGCAAGTATCTGTGTTACACTCAGTTCTTGAAAATGGAATGGAATGAAGCTATTTTAATGCCACTAAATGGGTGGGCTTACTTTCTAAAAATCCAAAGATGTGACCCCCCCCCCATTTTTCTTTATTGAAACTGCAAGATAGATGATTGTAGCAGTTTGTTTGGATAGGATTATGTTTAACAATTTACAGCACTTTTTACCCCTAGTGGTCTGTGGTATCATCATCAAAGCTACATTCTCATAGACTGGAAGGTCCTCATTTGGTAATCCAGCCATTCCTAGCCTGTACTATTTGTTTTATATACTACCTTTATACTGTTTTGGAAGAATAGCTAGTATCTATTTTGTATGGATGACATTAAAATAACTTTTTGTTTGTTTGTTTGTTTTATTTGTTTTGAGACAGGGTTTCTCTATAGCTTTTGAGCCTGTCCCGGAACTCACTTTGTTGACCAGATTGGCCTAAAATTCACAGAGATCCGCCTGCCTCTGCCTCCCTAGTACTGGTATTATAGGCACCTATATCAAACCGCCTGGCTATAATAACTATTTTTGAACATCTGATTTTTAAATAAACTATTTTTGAGTTTGGCGTGGTGGTGCACAACTTTAATTCTAGTACTTGGACCAACCAAGACCTAGTCTCAAATCCCCCTCAAACACGCATATGCTCTCTGTCTCTCTGTTTCTCTCTCTCTCTCTCTCTCTCTCTCTCTCTCTCTCTCTCTCTCTCTCACACACACACACACACACACACACACACACACACACACACTAAAAAACTTATTCTGTATTTGACTAAAACCAGAAGAGAAAATGAATGATATAAAAGAGGTGTCATATTGCACTTAAGGTAGAAAATGGCCCATGTTTACCCATTGTCTCATTTCATTTCAGACAATGTGCCCTGTGTGTTTGGATCGTCTGAAGAACATGATTTTCCTCTGTGGCCACGGAACATGCCAGCTCTGTGGAGACCGAATGAGCGAATGCCCAATTTGTCGCAAGGCAATTGAACGGAGGATCCTTTTGTATTGACTAAGAGACACAGTGTGTTGTTAGTTGAAGTATGTGATCATGAGATCTTAGTAGGTTCTAAAGCTAATGGGAAGTTTAATATAATGGGCTAATTTGAAATTTCATAATTTTGTATTAGAATGTAATTAGACTGTATATGTACCACCATCACAACGAAAACATACAGTGTTTGAAATTGCTGATGTGTGTGTGTGTGTGTCTGTCTGTCTGTCTTGTCTGCCTGTCTATCTGTTTTCCTCTTAAATTTGGAACATCAAATACATGGTAATTCATAAAAATTTTGTTTTTGGCTTTAAAGGGAAAATCCTTGAAGGACCTCCTTTCACATTTGTTTTTATTGTGAAAAACAATAAAATTTCTTTTTAAATTTATACATATGCTACACCTTAAAAGAGAGAAGGTCAATATTCCTTCAGGATTTTGTTTGTCATGATTTCACATGGTGAGATGACACAGCTATTCCAAAAAGTCCTACGTAAGGTGAGTGGGCAAGTAAAACTATGTCATACGTGTTAAATGATAAAAGTATAGCAGAGATGCCACGTGGCCGAGGCAGTACTGAAGGATTTCAAAATAATTAGAAATTACCCAGATGATAGCTTTAGAAGTAAGTAACTGGAAGTATGTGCTAAGAGAATGATGACTACCTTATTTTATAGAATAAAAAGGAAAATTGACTAGATTAAATAAATGACCAGTTTCAAAATTAGCAGTATACATGAAAAGGAAAAACAAAATTTTAGCAAGAATTGAAGGCTGGTACAGAACGATGCAAGCACACATCCTGCCTGACCGTGAGCACTGCACTCCTTGTATTAGCTTGTCACTGTTTGGACCAGCCATTTGCAGAAAAAAAGCCTATGAAAAAAGTAATTTTCATTTTCCCTGACAACTGACCTGGGCTTGATCTAATCAGGGCACACACACCATCCTGTTTGTGCCTCTGAGATCTGCTCAGCAGGCTGGTGAATTGTTAGAGACAACAATCTTTTCTTCTGTGCCTGTTATTCCGACAGTGTTATGGATTCTATCTTCATCAAAAGCCTTACTTCTACTCTTCTACTCTCTCAGATAGTAATTTTTGCTATAAAGAACATAATTTTTCTTTATACCTGAAGATGAATATTCTTTAAACTGCCAACAATAACTAAGATACAATAAATAGCTTAATATCAGATGCTTAGAAAAGGGTGCAGGGGCATTTATGGAAAAGCATGTGATTACATGTAGATTTGGTAGGGGGATTAAACATTTTATCCCCTTTAATGGGTAATTTTTGTATCTAGCTTAAATGTATGTGTGTTTCAAGATTCCTTACTGCTAGATTATAAAAAAAAATACCAGCTGTTTACAGTAGTGTCTACTATAGACTGTGTATAAGTATATATTCTTTTAGTGTTCTTTAGGGATAGATTTTTCCTACATTGAATCTGCCTAGCTTATTTCTGTTTTTCTGCTCTAGCAACTAAATGTGGGCAAGCAGAGTGTCCAGCCTGGTTGCACTTTGTTGCTGGTGGTTTACCTGCCACTGCCTTTGCCAGGCCTTATGGTGTGCTGGCTGTGTTGCAGACTCAACAGTCCCATATCCATGTTTAGCTGAGGAACTGCTATGTTTTCTCTTTTGATTTTGAGATAGTGTCTCACTATGTATTCCAAGTTGGCCTGGAACTTACTGTATAGCTCAGACTGGCCTCCATCTCATGATCTTCCTGCCTCTGCCTTCCAATTGTGGGATTATAGGATGGGGACCCCACTATGTCCAACATACTGTTAATCATTTTGGACAGTACACTTTTTGTTAGTTTCAAATTAGGAATGTTTTATTGTGACTCTATCTAGCTACATAGTTGGGAACCAGTGAGGTCATTTTCTAAGTATAATTTGAAGTTAAAAAAAGATACATCTGATGATATAGTGTTTACATACAGAGACATTGTCTTCATGCAGACTTGGAAATAGCAGAAGTGAGGATCTTCCTTGCCTTGGGCTGCCCATTGGATGATGAAGGATGGCTGCTGCATACAGCCTGCCAATCCAAGGACCTGGGGCCACAGCTGCATCTCATTTAAGTCTTTTTCTTCTGTCCCTTGAGCTGCAGTGATAAAGCCTGTGTTTGTAGGGGTAGACCTTCCTGCTAGCTCCTAACTGTCTCCTCCATGGTAGAGCACAACACACTAACTTCTATGAGAGAAGCCATAAAGTGTCTATTGTTGGGACCTTTGGATTTCTCTTTGTCACTTGGCTGTTTATTTTACGAATAGAAGATGTTCTTCTATTCATGTCTTGGGGCACCTAAAATTATTGTAAATTTGCTTGGATTTGCAAGAACAAGGACTAAATCACGCCAGTGACTTTCCTCCTCATTCTCTGAAGCTGCTACCTCTTACTTAGTCTCTTCGTAGTACTTGCCATTCGGTATCTCTTCTCCCTGTTGTTCAGCCCTGCCCCAGAGCAACTCTGACTTCCCTTTTACAATGACATGCATTCATGTTTGTTTTTTTTTTTTTTTTAAAGCATTGGTCTTTAGGGCCTTGATAGGAAAAATAAAAGGTCAGTGTCTTAGCACACTTAAGAGTTCACACTGTAGTTGTTTGTGTCATTTGTGGACAAAACCAGGGTCCTGAGGCACCATTAGTGTTCCTGCAGGTGTTTCAAGGGAAGCAGTATTGGGAATCCTGTTCTATACCTCTCGCCTCACCACGTTTTCTCCTTCGCTCTGAATACATACAGCTTTCCGGATGGTGCTAGCACAGTTGCACTTGTTCACATAGGTTGACATCTTATCTGTGCTGTAGACATACATAATTTTATTGGGAGCAAGGTTTTCAAGAGAGATAGTTTTATATTAGTATAAGAGTATTAAACTAGGCAAGTGTTTAGTTGCCCGAATTATGCTTAAGGTATTTGTAATTTAATAATGGCAAATTAAGCGGAAGTCTACTGAAACATAAAATTAACTGGAAATAACTTCCTAAACTTATATTTTTGCTGATTTTAGTCTGCAATAGCATTTTATTTTAGAATGCTGAAATGCATGCTGCTTAAGATTTGTCTAATTCAAAACTCAAACCTTGCTGGGTCATTTTTAAACATGGGAACATCTTGGCTAGTCATACGTTGCCTGGTGGATGTTCTTTGTTTATTTTGAATTCTGGACACTTTTGAACTAGGCATAGTTAAACTTGTGAATAGGACAGAGCTGGCTGGAGCAAAGCTGGTGCCGTACTCAAATAGGAAACATACAGTAACCCCAGAGAAAAGGAGTATTCTGTGCAACTTACTGCAGCCGTGGTGGAGAGGGTATGTTTAACTAAACATAAAAGGCATCTATTAGGTCAGATTTCATGCGTCTTGACAGTTATTTTATAAATTACAGATTTTAATACAGCTTGCTTTTTTTAATGTCTAAAAACATCCTTTTAAAGTGTCTGGAATGTTTATAGTAATTTTTATAAAAAACGGACTCACATGACACATGTTTTGGAATTTTTTTAAATTGCAGTAAGAACCACATATCATACGGTTTGTTATCCTGCCTGCTTCTAAATGTGCAATTCAGGGTGTCACTTCCGCTCACTTGGTTGGGAAACAGGTTGATCCTGCACAGTTGGAATGCCACACCCACCATCTACTCCCTTCTTCCTTTCCTTTGTGCAGTGGTTCTGAGAACAGAGAGAGCTAGCATTTATGTTTGCAAGATCCAAACTTAGGTAGATAGCAGGTTTCTGACATTTGAGGGAAGGGCGGCTCTCTCTCCATAATTGTTACTTCTACATGTATGTTAATTGAAAGTGTTTATAACTTCATTGTGAGTCAAAGGGGGCAAATACATTTAAGTATGAGAAATAAGTTAGCTTTGGTTTTGTACTAATTGGGAAGGAAATAGATTTTCATACGTAATTTGTGCCTTGTTAAGTCTCACTCATCATTGAGTCTTACCTGTCAAAGTTTCAGAATACATTTTTCTTTCAAAATGTCGCCTAATTTAACTTGTTTGACTGTCACATAGGAATGCTTACTTACATTACTTGATAATCGTGTAATACCTTTTGACTTTAACACACACACACACACAATCGCAGTATTGATAATTACGGTTGTATGTTTTTAAACATTAAGTGTGAGGAAGCTGTTTAATGTTGTTTTGTGCATATGTTACTTTACAATGAAGAACTCCTTTGCACTGAGCTTCAGTGGCTGATTTAGTAGCTTGTAGTGGGGTCAAATCACAGCATAAAAATATGAGTGGATAGTTAATAAAGTTAAGTTGCTATTTTCACATTTTCTACCTCCTTTTCTATCAGAATATTGCCCCCCAACCCTGGCATCTCATCTTGTTTGTGGGTAAAACGGAAGTAACCTGAGGTTAAAGTTAGATTTTCTGTTTTTGAGAACTTAAGCAATAGGTACAGGAAAAGGGACCTGTTGCATTAATTTGGTGCCTGAATCTAAAAGTATGAATTTCTGTGTGCAAATTGTCTAAGAAGGCTAATAGTGCTGAGGATTTGAATTGACCTGTATAGTTTTTTGGCTTTTATCTCATGAACATGGCTTCTTTCCTCAAAAGCAAAGTGGTCTTCTAATTTTTTTATGAAATAAGCAAATACGCCATTTTGTCTTGAGTGTACAGTTTCAGGAAGCTACTGAAAGTTCTGACTCAGGGCTTTTTAACAGTTTAAGCAATTATTAATATATTTTGGAAACTCCATCTGCATAATTTTTCAGTGCCTTGAAAGAATTACTAACTTGGCAACACTTAAAACCTTGTAGTAGGCAACTTTTAGTGCACTGGGTCATGATGTGGATGTTCCTAATCACAGAGCTAAACACGCGCGACAGCGGCTCTGCATGCACACACAATACCCACGTTCCTGTCATACGGCCAAGTGTGCGGCAAGTGGCTCTGCTTGTGTGCTGGGTTTGCATAATTCTTTAAGGGAAGTGTTCTACATTTGCACTTGATACCTGGCTTTTGCTTCTGTTTTTTTTTTTTTTTTTTTAAAGTGATTATTCAAGGCCGTGGCACTGTTTGGGACAAAAGAATAGTGTTTGCTGAGTGTGCAGTCACCTTAATAACTGTTGGGGAAAGGGGAGAACACACTTGGTGTCTGGGACAAAAGAATAGTGTTTGCTGAGTGTGCAAAGTCACCTTAGTAACTGTTGGGGAAAGGGAGAACACACTTGGTGTCTGGGACAAAAGAATAGTGTTTGCTGAGTGTGCAGTCACCTTAATAACTGTTGGGGAAAGGGGAGAACACACTTGGTGTCTGGGACAAAAGAATAGTGTTTGCTGAGTGTGCAGTCACCTTAATAACTGTTGGGGAAAGGGAGGAGCACACTTGGTGTCTGGGAAGCAGATCATCTTCCTCTCAAGTGGAAACCAGACCAGGCCAAACCCTTTGTTTAGTGGTTCAGGTAAAAACATTAGTGAAAATGAAATCATGAATTGCATGTCATTCTTAATGCTGATATGTAGACTAAATGCACGTTTTTCTGTCTTCTTCAGTATATGTCTGCCATTCCAAGTACAGTATATTCAAAAAGGAGAAAGCAGGTGACTCAGAAGTGTTTTGCTTTGTATTTTCTCCAATTCTTCTTAGCTTTCAATGTTGGAATAAATTTAAATCTTGTTTATGGATAAAATTTCTGTATGGAAAATTATTCTTGCTTATTAGTTTTGTTTAAAAAGTGCTTAGTAGTAACTAAGCTTTTTAAAATAAACGCAAACATTTACCATTAATAAAACCTGTGGTGTCATATGTTTTTCTCTGACTTTTGTTGGAAACTATTTTTAATAGTAATAGAAATGAATTTTTATTTTTAAGGCATTTGAAAGCAAATTTCAGTACATCAAAAACTCCTAGTTTTGGAAAGAAAATTACCATATCTTTAGAAACAAGGACGTCTCTCTCCAAGTCAGTATAGGAAGTAAGCACCCACATCTAGAAGGCTCCCATTATGAGGCTCACATGGCAGGAGCCTCTATTCAAGGATCAAAGAAGCTTTAATATTTTAATACCTATGTCTTCGGGATTAAAATGTATTTGGAAAGCAGCCTGAATAGAATAGGCTTGATCAAAGAAAACCAGGCAGGAAGACTTAGCTTGTTTCTCTCTATATATTTTAAAAGCTCATTCCTCTTTAGAAGTCAGGTGTGTCTGTATACACATTAATTTTTAGAAGGTTTGTATTTTACAGCAATGAAGTGTCTCCCCTTTTCAGTGTTTTGTGAGTAACCAGTCATTGAATAGTTTCGGGGTATCTTACTTTTAAAGTTGCTAGATGCAATTGTTTGTGACATTGTTGAGAAGTTTTCCGATTCCAGTTTTAAAAGATATGTATCCCAGATGTCTAAGAAAAATTCATCAGAAACAGAATCTTTTGTTTACTTGGTAAAAACACATGTGTTACAACTTTAGAACTGAATTTATTTTGGATAAGCTCTAATTGTATTTTGTGTTTATTTCTATTACTGTATAAGTAGCTATCGCATGGTAATATTTTTATTAAATTGAAACTATAGATTTAAGAATAAAGACATTTTAGAAAATCTACTTTATATTTTTATCACTGACAGTTTATTCATCACTATTTTATAGCACAACACTTCTCTGACTTTGGATGATGCTTCATAGAGGAGCAGTAGTTGAGGAGATGCAGTGAAGCGTGAGGTTCCTGTAGAGCAAGCATTTGGCTAGGAGTTTCCCTGTTTATAGCCAAACTAATAACTGATGAGCACACTTTCATTTTCATGAGAACCAACAACAATAATATTAAAGATAGATGTAGGAAGTAAGTGTACGACCACATCCGTAACAAAAACCGTTAGTAAATGGATGGCGCGGGCCAAGGAGACTGGTTGATGGTACTGCTGCTGTATTATACCCTGAGGAGATGCTTTTGGTGTGCTCTGGATAGACCCCTGCATTCACAGAACAACATTCTAAAAGACAGAATTTTAAAAACAATATAAATGTTATTTTCACCTCTCATCAATTAGTATTTATATTGAGCAGAATTGTTAAAATTTAGAAAGTGCTCTTAAGGTGAAGTTGACCCTTGCTTAACAAAGACAACCAGTCAAGGCGAGCCTTTAGTTTCTGACTATAACACAAGAAAACCATTGGGGCAGGAGATGGCTCAGAGGTTAAGAGCACTGGCTGATCTTCTGGAGGTCCTGAGTTCAATTCCCAGCAACCACTTGGTGGCTCACAACCATCTGTAATGAGATCTGGTGCCCTCTTCTGGCCTGCAGGCATACAAGGAGGCTGAACAACTGAACAATGTGTACATAATAAATAATTTTTTTAAACCATTGTTTAAAATTCTTCTGCGGAGACACCCAGAAGTAGACTCCTGGGAGCCATTGGTGGGTGAAGTACTGCAGGCTTAATCTGGACACATCTAAAAGGTGGAAATTTAAGGGAGGGTGTACCATGTGGTTGAGCTGAAGGCCACCAGTTCTGGCCTCAGTGGTAGAGCACTTGACTGCTGTCCATATGAACCCAATTCAGTCCCCAACACTGGAAGAAGAAAAAGAGAAAACATACCAGTAGTCAACTGGATGTAATTGATGTCTACAGAATAATTCACTACCAACAGCAGAATATACATAATTCTCACGTTTACATAGGACATTTAATTTAGTAAGGGAGATGACATTTGGCACCTTCAAATATGCTTACTCTTAAAAGAATGATAACCATATTCTCCCAGACCACAATGGAATTAAGCTAGACATCTAGAGCGATGGCTTTAAAAAGCTCAGTTATTAAGTTGGTGACAAAGCTACACCCAGAGGTCAAAGAAATCTCAAGAAGTAGAGGCTATTTTGGACACTGGGTGTGGTGACTACACAACTTAGGAGGAAGAATCACAAAGATCTTAAGTTAGGGGCTGGCTGGGTGATCGGTCCACACAGGAACGTGCACAGATGCGGTGAAAGCAGCCCTTGGGAAGAAAGTTATGGCATGGAGTGTATAGTAGAGAAGAACTCATCAAGCCCTCTTTAGAAAATTAGAAGAGGAACAAAATCAATCAAAAAGAATAAAAAGAAATACAAATGTGAGCAGAGAATGGAAGGAAAAAGAAAACAAAACTGTAAATAGGAACTTACTGGAGGAAAACTAATTAAGAGTCAAACCTTGATCAAGTAAAGAGATTAGCCAGGCTAATAAGCAATTAAAAGGCAGGGATTGTTGGCACCAGAAGTAAAAGCAGTGGACATTATAAATAATATGAAAGTCAGTGATGGTATGTACATCCTGGCATTTCACAGTAGAGGCAGAAGAATTGGTAATCTTCAGTTATCCTCAACTGCAATGAGTTCAAGCCCGCCTGAGCTACATGAGACCCAATTTAAAGTGAAAATAGTATGAACTATCCCTG